TTTCTTTCTTTTGAGAGAGTCTTGCCCTGTTGTCCAGGCTGAAGTGCAGTGATATGATTTCAGCTCACTGTAACCTCTGCCTCTTGGGTTCAAGTGATTCTCCTGAGTCAGACTCCCGAGTAGCTGGGACCATAGGCCTGTGCCACCACGCCCAGCTAATTTTTTTGTATTTTTAGTAGAAAGGGTGTTTCACCGTATTAGCCAGGATGTTCTTGATCTCCTGACCTCATGATCTGCCCACCTTGGCCTCCCAAAGTGCTCGGATTACAAGCATGAGACACCAAGCCCGGCCACTTTTTTTTTTTTCTTTTTTGACATGGAGTCTTGCTCTGTCACCCAGGCTGAAGTGCAGTGGTGGGATCTCTGCCCACTGCAACCTCCAACCTCTACCTCCAGGGTTCAAGTGATTCTGTGCCTCAGCCTCCCGAGTAGTTGGGATTACAGGTGCCCACCACCACTCCTGGCTAACGTTTGTATTTTTAGTAGAGACGGAGTTTCACCATGTTGGTCAGCCTGGTCTCAAACTCCTGACCTTAGGTGATTCACCCGCCTTGGCCTCCCAAAGTGCTGAGACTGCAGGTGAGTCACTGCACCCAGCCGTTTTATGAACTTTTTAAAAAGGATGTATGTGCACAAAACAGATTCAGGGGAAAGTCACTAATGGTATTTTCCTCCAGAAGATGAGATTGTAGGTGGTATTTATTTTCCTCTGAAACTTTTGTAGAGTTTGCAAATTTTCTACAGTGAAAATTCTTTTTTTTACTTTTGTGACTAGATTAAATTTCATAAAGTATATTAAAAAGTGGTAGTCCAGGCGCGGTGGCTCACGCCTATAATCCCAGCACTTTGGGAGGCCAAGGCAGGTGGATCACAAGGTCAAGAGATTGAGACCATCCTGGTCAACATGGTGAAACCCTGTCTCTACTAAAAATACAAAAAAATGAGCTGGGCATGGTGGCGCGTGCTTGTAATCCCAACTACTCAGGAGGCTGAGGCAGGAGAATTGTCTGAACCCAGGAGGCGGAGGTTGCGGTGAGCCGAGATCGCGCCATTGCACTCCATCCTGGGTAACAAGAGCGAAACTCCGTCTCAAAAAAAAAAAAAAAAAAAAAAAAGTGGTGATCTTTGTTAACAATTTAAAAAGTACTAACATTACAGACAGGTGTAAAGTAAAACGGAGATTCCCCTTCTCCCCAGAGGCGTCTGTCGGTGAAGACAGAGGTAGAATCTCCTTTACCCTGACTGCCTTCTGGTCTTGTTTGAATTCTTTGCTCACATATTGTATTACCTAGTCAGAAAAGAAAAGAGGCAGTCCTTTTTTTTATTTTTTTTCGGAGACGGAGTCTCACTCTGTTCCCCAGGCTGGAGTGCAGTGGCTCGATCTTGACTCACTGCAACCTCTGCCTCCATGGTTCAAGTAATTCTCCTGCTTCAGTCTCCTGAGTAGCTGGGATTGCAGGCGCCCACCAGCATGCCCAGGTAATTTTTGTGTTTTTAGTGGAGCTGGCGTTTCACCGTATCGGCCAGGCTGGGCTCAACCTCCTGACCCACCTTGGCCTCCCAAAGTGTGGGGATTACAGGGCTGAGCCACCACCTCTGCCTCCAGAGTACTCCCAAAGTGCTCAGATATGAGCCACTGTGCCCAGCCACTAAAGCTTCTAAAAAGTAATAATCCTTGTATATAAAATGTGTGTGTGTTTAACCACCAACAGTTATATCTCATTACAATTTAAATTTCTATGGTTATTCTAAGGTTGAGTTTCTTTTCTATCTCGGCTCACTGCAACCTCCACCTCCCAGGTTCAAGGGATTCTTGTGCCTCAGCTTCCTAAGTAGCTGGGATTACGGGTGCCCACCACCACGCCTCGCCAATTTATATATATATATATATATATATATATATATATATATATTTTTTTTTTTTTTTTTTTTTTTTTTTGAGACGGAGTTCCGCTCTTGTTACCCAGGCTGGAGTGCAATGGCGCGATCTCGGCTCACCGCAACCTCCGCCTCCTGGGTTCAGGCAATTCTCCTGCCTCAGCCTCCTGAGTAGCTGGGATTACAGGCACGCGCCACCATGTCCAGCTAATTTTTTGTATTTTTAGTAGAGACGGGGTTTCACCATGTTGACCAGGATGGTCTCGATCTCTCGACCTCGTGATCCACCCGCCTCGGCCTCCCAAAGTGCTGGGATTACAGGCTTGAGCCACCGCGCCCGGCCCAATTTTTATATTTTTAGTAGAGACAAGGTTTCATCATCTTGGTCAGGCTGGTCTTGAACTCCTAATCTTGTGATCCACCCACCTCAGCCTTTCAAAGTGCTGGGAATACAGGCGTGAGCCACTGTGCCTGGCCTTTTTTCTTTTCTTTTTTTTTTTTTTTGAGACAGAGTCTTGCTCTGTTGCCAGGCTGGAGTGCAGTGGCGCAATCTCGGCTCACTGCAACCTCTGCCTCCTGGGTTCAAGGGATGCTTCCGCCTCAACCTCCCGAGTAGCTGGGACCACAGGTGTGCGCCACCACACCCAGCTAATTTTTGTATTTTTAGTAGAGATGAGGTTTCACCATGTTGGCCAGGATGGTGTCGATCTCTTGACCTCGTGATCCACCCGCCTTGGCCTCCCAAAGTGCTGGGATTACAGGCATGAGCCACCACGCCCAGCCCTTTTTTCTATTTTTAGTAGAAACAGGGTTTCACCATATTGGTCAGAGGCTGGTCTCCAACTCCTGACCTCAAGTGATCTGCCTGCCTCGACCTCCCAAAGTGCTGGGATTACAGGCGTGAGCCACCCCCAGCCTGGACCTGGAACTTTATCCTGATTTACAAATCATAGTTTCTGAAGGATTTTGGAATTTACAGTTCCCTCGGTACCCTGGGATGTGATGGGGGCTGAATTTGAGGAGCTGAAATTTGAAGGTGGCTCAACAACAGCAGTTGTAGGCCTAAGGGCACAGATGCAGCGATTAGGCAAATCTGTAGAAGACCAGCTGTGTCAGTGTGGTGGGATGGGGAAGGAGAGGCAGAATCACAGCGATTACCTAGCAAACGTCTGATGACAGACAGGATGGTTCTAGCCGGGCGCAGTGGCTCACGCCTGTAATTCCAGCACCTTGGGAGTCCAAGACCGGCAGTTCACGAGGCCAGATCAAGACCATCCTGGCTAACACACTGAAACCCCATCTCTACTAAAAACACAAAAAATTAGCCGGGCATGGTGGCGGGCGCCCGTAGTGCCAGCTACTCGGGAGGCTGAGGCAGGAGAATCGCTTGAATCCAGGAGGCAGAGGTTGCAGTGAGCCGAGATCCTGCCAATGCACTCCAGCCTGGGCCACAGAGCAAGACTCTGTCTCAAAAAAAAAAAAAAAAAAAAAAGAAAGGTTGGTTCTCAGCAGGGCACTGTGTCATGCCTGCAATTCCTGAACTTTGGGAGACCGAGGTGGGAGGATCACTTGAGCCCAGGACTTTGAGACCAGCCTGGGCAACAAGGCAAGACCCTATCTCTACAAAAAATACAAAAATTAGCCAGGCGTGGTAGCACACACCTGTGGTTCCAGCTACTTGGAAGGCTTAGGCAGGAGGATCGCCTAAGCCCAGAAGGTGGAGGCTGCAGTGAGCTATGATCACACCACCACACTCCAGCGTCTAGGTGCCTGAGATCCTTTCTAAAAAAAAGAAAAAGAAAAGAAAAGAAAAAAGATGGTTCTTGGCATCTAGATAGTAGTGTGGTCATCTGAGAGAAGATGGGGAGGATAGTAGTTCTGGGAGATATTTGAGGGATGCTTGAGCCCTGGAGGGCCCTCAGGCTGCTCAAAGAGGGGAGGGTGAAGGAAGAGATTTGCCAGGTGGCAGTCGAAACCTTGTGGGTGGGAAAGATTCCAGAAGGTGGGGAACCGGATAGGTTACCAGCTGGAACCGCTCCCCACTCCCACCCCCGTTCCCCAGCAGGCTGACAGCACCAATCCTTGTCTGGGGGAGGTTGCCCTTGCCAGGTAACCAGGGCGGGTTCTAGGCAGTAGAGGGCACACTCGAACTGGGGCAGGTGAAGCAGACATCTGGGGCTCCCACAGCCCTGGGGTGGTTTATTATAATAATAATTATTATTATTACATATATTTTTTGGTAGAGATGGGGGTCTTGCCAGGCTGCCCAGGCGAGTCTCGAACTCCTGGCCCCCAAAGCGCTGGGATTCCAGACGTGGCTACCACGCGACGGTAGCTCTGGGGTGCTAAGCCAGCCCCCCGGAGCGGGCCAGGGAGACCAAACCGATTCTGGGGCAGAGAGTCTCCCAGGTCGGGCTGGTGCCTCCGATGAGGGGGACGAAGACTGGCAGCTGAGCTTTTGGTACCCGGCCTTATCAGACTGGGACCCGGAGCCCCTTCGACCCCGCGCAGACTTGTCCCTGACGCATCGCCACGCGGAGAGGGGCCTCACCTGAAAGGGACCGGGAACGGGGTGAAGGTGGGGAGTGGGGCTCAGGGCAGCAGGTGGCAACGCGGGCAGGGAGCACCCAGATGACGGATGCGGAAGGAGGACGGTCCCCGGGGGACCGAGCAGTGCGTGAACAGGGGCGGAGAAGGCTCCGTCTGATGGGGGGTCCTCGGGAGACCCCAAATCCTAGGAAGGGACAGACAAGGGGGGCCTCGGGAGGCTCCATATCCTAGGACCGGACAGACAAGGTGGGTCTCGGGAGACCCAAATCCTAGGACTGGACAGACAAGCCCCAAATTCCCTCGCACATGTCCAGGGTCAATTTCCAGGGACTGGGCAGACGGCGCCCGGGAGGGGAAACGGTCGTGAACCGGCAGGAGGCGCCACGCCTGGACCGCGTCCGGGGGATCCCAGACCCCGAATGCGCCGGGACGGGAGCGCGAGGAGCCAGGACCTGAAGCCCGAGGCCGCGGGGACTGCAGCGCCGCGCGGGGAGGAGCGGGGGGACCGGAGAGCGGAACGACCGCGCGGAGCCGGCGCATCTGGGCGTGGTGACCGAGGCGGCCGCCTCGGGGGTCTCGTGGGGGTCCGCGGGGCGCCGGAACGCGGAGCGGAAGCCGCAGCCTCGCAGGGTCAGGGCGCTGGGGAGGCACCGGGGCGATGTCGCGGGGCCCCGCCGCGCTGGGATTCGGGGTGAAGGCGGCAGAGCCCAGGCCCTGCCCGCAACGCCGCGGCCCCCCCGGCCCCTCGTCTCTCTTGTTTGTCTCCGAGTCCGGCCGGAACCGGCTTCTGCTCGCGGCGGGGCGGGCGGGTGGCTGGCTGCTGATTGGTCGACGCCTGTTTCCAGCCCCCGCTCAGCCAATCAGCGGGCGACGGTGTTTTCATCTCGGGTCGGAATAAAAGGGCTGGAATAAAAGAGGGCAGAAAAGGCGCCGGGCGGGCCCGACACGCGCGGAGCAGCCGAGGAGCGGGAGCCGGGAGCGAGTTCGGCGAGGGCGCGCGGGCAGCGGCGGCACTGAAGCGGCGCGGGGAGCAAACGACGGAACCCGAGGAACAGGACGGAGCGGTGAGGGGCCGCCAGGGGACACCACGAGAAGCGGAGGGCCGGGGATGGAGGCCGGTGATCCGCTGCCATGGAAACGGGCGAGGCGCCGGGGAACGCTCGGGCTGGGGGTCTCGCGCCGCCGGTTTGAACCGGCTCCTGGTCTCCCACGCCGGGTTCGCGTGGCCGCAGCGCCTAGCGACCTAGACGGCGGCCAATGGCGCGGCAGTTCCTGCGCCGTCTGGCCAATCAGCGCGGCGGGGCGGGCCGTTCTGGAGCTCTGTGCGCTGATCTTGTGGTTGAGGAAACCGGCTCCGGGGAAGGGTCTCGGGTGCGGGCGGGAGGGCGCCCGTCAGGGCCCCGGGGAGTGGCCGCCCTCGGGCATCCCCCGGCCCAGGTGGCCGCGCCCCGCGCCGCTGTCCAGCCCGGCCCCAAGCCGTGTCAGTCCTGCCCGGGGCCAGGGCCAGGTTCACGGCCCTGAGCATGCGTTGGTCCCTTCGTGCCTCCGTGCCTCAGTTTACCTCGGAGTGAGACACCTCCCTACCTGGCTGGGGTGGCTCGGTCGGCGCGGAGGGCGGCGGTGCGGGCCGGCCGCGTGTCGGGTGGCCCAGGGCCGGGCGGGGCTGGGGCTCGCCTCGCCTGACCTCTTTCGCTGCGCGCTCCGGCCACCGCAGCCACGGAGGGGTGACAAGCCCTGCGCCCTGCGGCAGCGGCCGGGGCGGCTGGGGCGGCGGCAGAGGCTGGGCAGGGCCGGCCGCTGACGCCGAGATCTGTGCGCAGGTGGTGCAGAGCCGGAGCCCGAGCCGCGCCGCGCCATGGCGCCCACCCTGGCCACTGCCCATCGGCGCCGCTGGTGGATGGCCTGCACTGCCGTGCTGGAAAACCTCCTCTTCTCGGCAGTCCTTCTGGGCTGGGGCTCGCTGCTCATCATGCTGAAGTCGGAAGGCTTTTACTCCTACCTGTGTGCTGAGCCAGGTGAGACAGGCGCCTGGGGCTGCGGGGGGCTCCCGGAGTCGGGGCTCTGGGTGGGGGCCGGAGGGGGCGAAGACCTAGGAGCAGTACCTCACTTACCGCCCAGCGCCTCTCGGGCATCTAAAGGCCCGCTGGATCCTCACCCGGCCCTGCTGGGTACTTAACATTGCCCCGTTTTGTGGGCAAAGACATGGAGGCTCAGAGCCATCTTCGGTCCTGGGCAAGGCCACAGAGCCACAGCTGCTGTCCAGGGTGTTCCTTCCACCCCAGGAGCGTTGCTGGGCTCCCCTCCTCTCCTCCCCGCGCCTGGAACGCGGCTTGCCTTGTAGTAAACATGTTGCTCTTGGATGGTGAGAAAGAGGAACTCCTGGTTTAGGGGCTGGGGTGCAGCAGGAGAGGAAGTGGCCTTGCCTCCGCCCCAGGCAGGGCTCATCTAGAATCTAGACGTTTCTTAGGCGGTTGCGGAGTCTCTCAGGTGCTTGCTGGACACAGTTTCTTGTCTATTTTTGCCGACTTATGATTCTCCAAAGGACATTCCCTCCCACGGGCTGTGAGGACCTCTCCGTGGCTTCCCAGCCCCGTGGGGATGAAGGGGAAGAGGAGAAGGGAGCGTTGGTGGAGATGCTGCCGCCTGTTCTCTTCTCGCCGAAGGCAGGCTGGGCACGCTTGTGTGCATGACGTCCGCACCACCCAACACACACGCTCACCTTCACACCTTCACACCCTGTGGGAGGATCCCGGTTACTACAGGGCGGCAGGCTCAGCCCCACGGGAGGGCCACAGCAGCCCAGTCTCTGGCCTCCTACCCTCCTCCTTAGGCGACTGTAACAGGACATGCTTCCCTCTGCGCTCTCCTTGATTCCAACGGTAGCTGCATAACAGCTGAACTCACATCACCCCTCTCCCCAGGGCCAGAGGGCCGTTAGATGGAGGTAGCCCAGAACTGACTTCCTGAGTCCCCACCAGCAGGCCTTTTCCTTCTAGAGCTCTTTGCAGGAAGAGAAGGCTTTGCGCCAGCTCATGCTGGGTGTCATCCTTCGTGGAAGCCTCCCTGTTTCCTTTCTCTGATCTGCCCGGAGTCCCTGTGTCCCAGTCTCTAGGGAGGGAGGCTTCCCTGGAGAGGTTCAGGCAGGAGAAAGTGGGGAACGCAGAGGCCTCGGGAGTGGACAGAAAGTGTATCATTTATAACTAACCTTTAGCCTTTAGCCACTCAAAAATATTTCCTAATAGCTTAAGGGTTCTTGGCAGGCCTTTCTCCACATCAGCAAGAAATCTTAGGAGTTGGGAAGGGTCAGACCTTGTTCCCTGAGCAAGCTTTCTGCTTTGCCCAGGAGATATTAGGAGATTAATTTCTCTCCTGGGCACAGGTGGGAGTGTTTGCTTCGTCCTCTCCTCTCTTCTTTATAGATCATGACCCTTCCTGCTTGCCATTTTTTTTTTTTTAAAGCAGGCTGGGTACGGTGGGTCACACCTGTAATCCCAGCACTTTCGGAGGCTGAGATAAGTGGATCACAAGGTCAGGAGTTCAAGGCCAGCCTGACCAATATGGTGAGACCCTATCTCTACTAAAAATACAAAAATTTAGCTGGGCATGGTAATCCCAGCTACTCAGGAGGCTGAAGCAAGATAATCACTTGAACCTGGGAGGCAGAGGTTGCAGTGAGCTAGGATCACGCCACTGCACTCCAGCCTGGGTGACAGAGCAAGACTTCATCTCAGAAAAAAAAAAAAGGCAGAAAAAAAATCATCCCCAAAGAAAGCTCTTAGTGTCTCATCCAGACCAGAGGACTGTTGTAGGTAGAGTTTTTTTCCTTTGGACCCGCCATGGTGTCGGGAAGGTCACATCTAGGTGGTTTTTTTCATGGATTGTCGACTGATTTAACTTACTGTATGGTTTTGGCAGAATTCCAAATTCCTTCATTCCTGCCTCAACCTCGGCCTCTTCCTCTAAGAAAGGGAGCTTAGCTTCTTCCCCGCGGTCTCTGTCGTGCCGGCGAGGTGCTGAGTCGGTGGTTAACCCCGGGGAGACTTGACAGATTGCTCCTCTAAACCGATGTGAAGGTGAAAGGTCAGGACTGGGTTGAACATCAACCTCTTACCCTGGGCGTTTGCTCCTGCCTCCGATTTTGTTTTTTCTGACGATCTGGCAAACCCACTGAGCCCCCGTCCCGGGCAGGAAGGCTGCTGAGTCCACACAGCTTATCTCTGTGGCCTCGCTGCTCCTTGATTCTTGGAGTCGGCATCACCAGTTCTCTTTCAGGCCAGAAATCCCCACACGTTGCTTGTCTGGGAGTGCCTGGCAAAGTCAGGGTGAAGGTTTCTGCTTGGGTCTGACATTTTCTTTTCTTTTTTTTTTTTTTTTTTTGAGATGGAGTTTTGCTCTTGTTACCCAGGCTGGAGTGCAATGGCGCGATCTCGGCTCACCGCAACCTCCGCCTCCTGGGTTCAGGCGATTCTCCTGCCTCAGCCTCCTGAGTAGCTGGGACTACAGGCACGTGCCACCATGCCCAGCTAATTTTTTGTATTTTTAGTAGAGACGGGGTTTCACCATGTTGACCAGGATGGTCTCAATCTCTTGACCTTGTGATCCACCCGCCTCGGCCTCCCAAAGTGCTGGGATTACAGGCTTGAGCCACTGCGCCCGGCCTGGGTCTGACATTTTCAAACTTGGCGGATGGCTGGGTTGCAGAGACGCACTCGGGCCATTTTTCGAATTTATTGAATTAGGTTCGTGAAAGGCTGAGTAGTCCCGGGGCTGTCCCCAGCTGATTGAGATGCAAATTGGTCAGCTTTGTGTGGCTCTCAGACGAAGCCTTTTGTTCTCTGAAGAAAATTCGCCTGAACCTGTTGAACCATTCTTAGAACTCTTTCTCAGGACTCCAGCCAGAATCTGGCCACAGGCACGGTGTTGGCTCCAGCGTGGGGCAGTGGCAGAAGGAAGGAGACAGCTCATTTCTCCTCTCCCCTCTGTTTCTTCTTCCTTGTCCACTGGGAGAGGTGACAGGTAGGGTCCGCGGACCTGCGCAAGGGCCGTTAACGAGGGGCTTTGTACGACACCCACCAGATGCTGGTGCTGGGCACTTCCCTAGGACCCTGGTGAGGGTGGGAGACCTACTGGGTTCTCAGCCCCACAAGCGGGGGCTTTCCCAGGGCTGTGTCCTTTTGGCCTCTGGGATGGCACTGTGACCGGCCACCCCCGAGCCCTTCCCTCCTTTCATCTGTGGTCCAGTGGCCCACTTCAGCGGGGTCAGGGTGGGCCTGTGGAGCTGCCGCTACCTGTGGATGGTTTCTTTTTGAGACAGGGTCTCACTCTGCTGCCCAGGCTGGAATGTGTGGTACAGTCACAGCTCACCGCGGCCTTGACTCCTGGGCTCAAGCGATCCTCCCCCTCAGCTCCTGAGTAATGGGACTACAAGTGGGCACCACCACCAACCCAGCTAATTTTTTTTTTATCCTTTTTTTTTTCTTTTTTTCTTTTTTTTTTTTTTGAGACGGAGTTTCGCTCTTGTTACCCAGGCTGGAGTGCAATGGTGCGATCTCGGCTCACCGCAACCTCCGCCTCCTGGGTTCAGGCAATTCTCCTGCCTCAGCCTCCTGAGTAGCTGGGATTACAGGCACGCGCCACCATGCCCAGCTAATTTTTAGTATTTTTAGTAGAGACGGGGTTTCACCATGTTGACCAGGATGGTCTCGATCTCTTGACCTCGTGATCCACCCGCCTCGGCCTCCCAAAGTGCTGGGATTACAGGCTTGAGCCACCGCGCCCGGCCTCTTTTTTTCTTTTTTAAGATGGGGTTTCACCATGTTGGTCAGGCTGGTCTTGAACTCCTGACCTCAGGAGATCCGCCCACCTTGGCCTCCAAAGTGCTTGGATTACAGGCGTGAGCCACCACGCCCAGCCTCCAGCTAATTTTTGAATTTTTTTTTTTTTGTAGAGACAGGGTCTCACCATCTTGCCCAGGTTGGTCTCAAACTCCTGGGCTCAAGCAGTCCTCCTGCCTCAGCTGCCCAAAGTGCTGGGCCTATGGGCATGAGCTACTATACCCAGTTAGGTTTAATTTTTTTTTTTTTTTTTTTGAGACGGAGTTTCGCTCTTGTTACCCAGGCTGGAGTGCAATGGTGTGATCTCGGCTCACCGCAACCTCCGCCTCCCGGGCTCAGGCAATTCTCCTGCCTCAGCCTCCTGAGTAGCTGGGATTACAGGCACGCGCCACCATGCCCAGCTAATTTTTTGTATTTTTAGTAGAGACGGGGTTTCATCATGTTGACCAGGATGGTCTCGATCTCTCGACCTCGTGATCCACCCGCCTCGGCCTCCCAAAGTGCTGGGATTACAGGCTTGAGCCACCGCGCCCGGCTTAATTTTTTTTTTTTGAGACAGAGTCTCACTCTGTTGCCCAGACTTCAGTGCAATGGCGTGATCTTGGCTCACTAAAACCTCTGCCTCTCAGGTTCAAGCAATTCTCCTGCCTCAGTCTCCTGAGAAGCTGGGATTATAGGTGCCCACCACCACGTCCGGCTAATTTTTGTACTTTTTAGTAGAGACAGGGTTTCACCATATTGATCAGGCTGGTCTCCAGCTCGTGGGGTCAAGTGATCCTCCGGCCTCAGCCTCTGAAAGTGCTGGGACTACAGGTGCAAGCCACCATATCCTGTTAATTTTTAAATGTTTTGTAGAGATAGGGGGTTCACCATGTTGCCCAGGCTGGTCTTCAGCTCCTGGCTCAGTCGATCTGCCCGCCTCCGTCTCCCAGATGCTGGGATTACAGGTGGGAGCCACCGCTCCTGGCCTATGTGTGGATATTGAATCCCCTCTTTCTTGTAACCTAAATATTCAATCAAGATTGAAGGTGCCATGCTGGAGTGCAGAGCAAACACATCATCACACGCACCCCTGTGTAATTCCAGGTGGTGGTCGGGCCCCAAGAAAGCAGGGTGCCAGGAGCTGGAACAGCAGCAGGGATCTGGCTCCCCCGGGTGGGAGGGCCTCTCTGCGTTCAGGT